CGAATATTCGGCCAAACTATTCGGCTTGATTAACGCATGTACGAAAATTGCTGCGCAAACCGCATTATGGCAAGGACCCTGCTCTCTATTGGCCCGCTGTAACTACGCTTCGCCAATCGCGTTAATTCTTGGCAGTTGTAGCGGACAGACAAGAGTGTCATGGAAGTATGTGATAAATGATGATATCCAATGTGGTTAATAATGAAATGACCTATACGTGTAAATAACGGAAAAAGAACAGAGAAGGACCGCGAAGTGAAAATGTGAAAATAAATATGAAATTGAGTTGATAACATAATCAAACAAGTCAAGACATCTTATTGGCGTGAAATTCACGACCATCAATGCCAAATAATTGTTGTCATAGACTTCGGAAAGCTAAATGCTTGTAATGAAAGTCACTTAGCGTGCACAGGCGAAAACCTGAGGCCATTCGGGCTATCAAGCTGTCTCGAATCTGAAATCATAACTGTGACTAATACCAACGTACTATCTGTCTCTTTTCTCCATTATCACCAGGCTGAGTCACCTAATTGTAAAATGGGAACTCTACGACGGAAAAGTGACGAATCGAAAGTATCGTGAGCGCGTATTATGATGTATGCACAGGCATACGTGGATTAGAGCGATAGAGGAAAGAGAAAGGGAAGAGCAAAGACGAGCACTTAAAAAGAAGGATAGGCAGGGTCAGACCCTCATGTGTGTGAGGATTCTCAACAATAGATGTGTACATGTGCTGATCTTTGTAATTATAAATTGTGACTACATGTGACTAATATTATTTCCCTTTTTATTTTGTGCATGTTACAAGTTATAAATAAATATAAACAAACAACACTAACTCGATAACATTAAATCTAAATACCAAAATGATTAATTTACTGTGTGTTTGTTATTTCTTACTCCTGTTTTTAGGTATTCAGTATTTGGCCGAATAGTGAAAAATAGGCCGAATACCGAATAGTAACCAAATATTCATTACATCCCTAAAGAATATTCATCACCAGACTGATCTATTGCAATTTTTTGCCTATTGAATTTCATCGGTTTCCCCCATTTTTGACTATTTCTGCTTTGAAACACCAAGATGTGTCCAAATTTGATCCCATGTCCCCAAAGCAGTAGAACAACGCCTTAATCATTCTCATTGGGTGTTTCAGAGAGCAATTATTTACTGAACATACTGACATTTCTAGAATGCATTTTTCAATATACAGTATATACTTCTAATATATTCATTTTAAGATTAAAAAAATCTGCACTTCATTACTTTAATTACAAACAGACTAAAGTTGGTTATTTTGTATTTACTCATTTAAAACTTTATATTATTAATTAAAACTGATATATTTTTCACAATTTAAAACGCCCAACTTCTTTTATGCATTAAAAATTAAAATAGTAATTAAACAGCTTTACAAGTTCTGCATAAATAACTTTGATCAGTTCTCTGAATAAATATTCCATAGAAATTCAATTCTGGTTTCCTAAATCCTTTTAAACTGTACTTTGATTTAAGGAAATGAACTTTAGAATTTTATAAATGCTTTTCTTCAATCTTTTCCTTTGGCAATTCTTTTGTATACTATTAAGAAACATGAGTGAATTAATTCTATCAATTTTTATTACATATAGAAACACATTTACATTTTATCCCGTGACAAATGATTAGTTAAAACTTGCTAAACTAATACAAGAAAATCTATTACAAAACATTTTAGGCAAATCTTTGTTTAAGATGTAATTAGCTATGATATATATTGTTTTTAACAGCAATAGTATGTAATGATAATGCTTGATATAAGTTTGTTGGAAAAGAAGATAGAAAATCTTCTAAACAAGAAATTAATCTTGCAAATAATAGCATTTAGAGTGAAAAATTCTAGTATGATCAAATAATGATTGATTGAAAATCAAGTGATTTCCAGAATCCAAAAAATCCCCTAGATAAGAAATCCTAAATAATACAGAAGATTGCAACCATGAAATTTGTTCAAGATCTAAACTTGATAGAACTGACAGACTTTTTAACCTAAAATTCTAAAATAATTGACTAAATTTTTTTAATTAAATTATTTTCAAGTGAATAATGAACAATGATCTTGTTTAAAGAAATATTTTTAAAACTTACTTTGAAAGACCTTCTTCGCCAAAATCTAAACCAGTCGGAACTAATTTCACATTTCTTCTTTTTAAAGCATAGTCAATAACGGCTTCATTTTCTTCTGGCTGTTTTTGAATAATTAGAACATATATGAAAATTTTAATTTGTAGTAGTAATATAAAGCAATCTATATTTAAAAGATAAAATATAAACATTTTTGTACATATATAATTTTGTTGAAAATACATTTGAAGTAGGATAAAAAAAAAACCAAATTAAACTTTTAAATAATTCTGAAAAACACATCAATAATACTGTAAATTTTCAACTTTACTATTGTACTGTTATTGCATTCAATTATAATGCAAACTGTACATCAATAAATCATATATGAATTTTCTAGCAAATAGTAATAAAATATGAATTTTATATTAAGTTAATACAGTAATGAATTATCTCCAAATTCAAATTATAAGAAAATTACACTATTGGAATAAATTATTTAAATATTTAAAATCAAAATGATTGTTTTTGTGAGCTTTTCTAGTTCATCTTTAGGTGCATAAACTACTCCAAAAGAAATTAAAAACATGTTAAATATTCTGAAACATAGGACAGTTTGGGGAAGATGTGCATAGTTATATTTCTTGCACATAGCTTTATATTTCAGAAACATATAAACTAAACAGTTGCATATATAGAAATAGATACTCGAAATTTTTTTTTTATTGCACCACACAAATTTTACATAAAGTGAAACACATATATGAAATAAATGATATTTGTAGGAACTTTACACGATGTGCATCTTTCCTGTATTTGGGGTAAGTTTCTAATCAAGTTTCTGGTTTTTAAATGGATGCTTTATTCCAAGTTTTTTGGAAAATTAAAAAGATAGCTCCCAGATATCAGTCATAGTTAAGGGAAACCCATGGTTTTCAAGATCTTTTGAATGCTTACGAAGATTTATTTCCACCAGTTCAAGTAGGTCACTGATTCATAACAGGTTGTCTTCCAATAGATATATCTACTTAAAATTCCCAGATGCGAGTTGTTTCTGAAGCATTTGTTCTGGCACTTCATAATATTTGCTAGCTCCTGCAATTATCATTTTCCTTCCTTCACTGCATTTTGCAACAAGCTTTGTTCCAATTACTTCTATTAGTCTTCCATTTGTAATCATAAACCATTTTGCAAAGTAACAAAATACACAGTACAGTATTTTTGCAGAATGGCCAGCATGCCACATAAAAAAGGGGAGACCAGCATGCCAGAAATTCCAGGGGTACCGGCAGGTCGATTAAACTGAGACTAAAATATAAAATTAATCACATCTAACAAAACTAGTTGTTAATTAAACATTAAAGAAAACATTCTTCCAAATACAATAAAATAACATTGTAATTTGACTTACTTAAAATCAGGAAAAGAGTTTACATTTTGAAGACAATAAAATGATTTATTGATATTAGTAGTAGCAGCTGGTGTGTGGGCTACACTGACCATCTACCCTGACCTTAAAAATAACACCCTCCTCTCAAATTTCACACAAAGCCAATGTTAATGGGTAAAAACTGAGATAATTTACAACCAGTTTCTTAAATTATATATGCTTATTTTTGTGTTTTTGAATCAAATAATAATAAAATACACACACAAAAAAAAACACTTTTGAAACTCCAAGAGTATTTTATGTCATTAGAAAAAAGACAAAATGAAGAAATTAAACATATAATTGTAGTTTTGATGTAATGCCAAGTTTCACAGTTTTAGAATAAAAATGTAATTTTAGTAATACTGTTTCTTTGAAAATTTTTTTATGATTCTAAATAACAATCAGGAGTAGGGCCAGAGGAGCTGGCTCCATCAATATGTTATAAAGCAAACCAAATTACTCATTGACAAAAGCATCTTGATTAACAAATTAGTTTTTTTTATGATCTAAATTATTGTTATTAAAATAATTGTCCACATTAAAATATATTTGTTATTGCATGTTATACTTTGGACCAGCTTTCAGATAAAGAGTAAAAAGATATATAGGTATACCTCACCTTATGTCGGTAATTGGTTCCAGGAGAGGCAACTTAAGTCGAAAAACGACGCAAGTCAAATTTACTTGTCACTATGCTAAACCTCAAATAACCATTCCCAGTTCTGTATTTTATTTATAAATGCATTTTTAATAACATATGGTTAATAAGAATCTATTTTAAGCTTACAAACAAATAAATTTTAGTTTTTAATATAGTACAGAAAAAAGTAATCTAAATTTACAAATACATGTACGTACAGTACATACTTGTAAATGTACATGTTTATAATTTGGTGATGTTTACAGTACATCACGGACTCTTTATTTGTGAATGTGGTTTCTCTAAGACATTATAAAATAAGATGATTTTGTAAGATTAAATAACAAATATCGTTATTAAAATTATTTTGCAATAGTAGAAAAGATTTATGTTAAATTTACCAAATATCAAGTGGCACTGACAATGATGCCAAATGGTAGATATTGCAACTACCGTGGAAAACGCCAATAATGAGCGTTTAAAGACCACTAAATAAGACGACAACACAGAAACACAGATGTTTTCATGTTTCGTTCTCTAGGATTTATGATGATTATATTAACATTTACTGTAAATGTACATATTTTAATACGATTTTATGTGCTTTTAATGCTTTTCTATGATATTAAGACTTCAATATTTGTGGCAGACGGACGTAAAGTCGAATAAAATGACTTAAACTTGATTTTTATTTTTCCCCCATATACTCTTTTGACAAACGACGTATAATCGAGAACAACGTAACTCAAGGTATACCTGTATTAGAGAGAAATGCACACTGTTGCTGTTAGTTGCAACACTACTGCAATACGTGCAAGTTTATGGAGAATTGGGACTAACTCTCTCTGACCCAATCCTCAGTATATTCTAACTGTTTAATTTGCATAAGCATAAATACAGTAAGAGTATGCGTGCCAGTGCAATGTTTTACAATCTTTTGCAGTTTATAATTTTTTACTGTTTCAGTAATTCGTAATTATTAAATTATATTTATTTTTTCATTTTATTGCAGATTTTTTACATTTTTTTTTCATTGACTTTCAATTTGAAATATCTTTTAAAAATTTTTGTCAGTTTTAATTATTGTTTACTAAATTATGAATGCTATTGTATACTTTGAATTTGGTCAACATGGTATTTTTCGTAATTTTACTGATTAATACTGTAAACCTGTATATAAGCAAATAAATAAACTATCCAAAAATAGGCATTTTTTTTTAAATATTAAATCCTGATTTTCTATTATTAACCTAAATAATATTTGTTTTAAACCTGGCCCCACCATTTTCTGGGTCTATCAGCCACCAATGATAACAATTGACTGTTTTATGATCAACAACTCTATTATATTTCCTTTAGATATTTTAATTTAAATTTTGTTCTAATATAAAAATAAGAACTTATAGGAATACCCCTGTTTTATATATTCTATTCTTGATTTCAAATATGTTCATCATAATACTAATTTGTTACTTGTTAAAATGAAGTCAATTGAATGTTTAACCAAAAATAATTCTTTTAATAGTGTTGTTTATCTGGACTAAATCATTATTTATTTTTTTTAATTAATTAATTCAGTATGGCTCAAAATTTTATGAACAATAAAAATAAATTAATACCAACAAGCCAATCTATACATAAATAAATAAATAAAACTTACCAAAATAGAGCAAGTTGAATAAACTAAATAACCTCCAGATTTTGAATTAGCATCTAAGCAATCTATTGCTGCCAAAATCAATTCTTTCTGTATATGAGAACAACGCAATATATTTTTCTGATCCTAAAAGAATAAAAAAATAATTTTGTATTTTAAGAAGTCTAAACAATAAAACATTTAAATAAGAATCAGGCAAAGAGCCCAAAAGATTTGCCTCGTCTTAATCTGAAAATGCAAATAATAAATTGAATAAAAATATTAATTTATATCAAAGTTACAATATCAATATTTAATCATATATAGTCAAAATATCAAATCTCAATTTCAAGCTATGGGGAATAAAATTGTTACATTACATTTTACTTCAATTAATATATAAAATTAAAGTAATTGCACAATTACGTGACAAACATTCTGATATTAACCCTATAAGAAGCTACATATTTAATAAACTTAACTTTTCATATATTAAATTAAATCACACCTCACTGGGATATATGTAATAGCAAACACAGAATCAATTTCTGATGTGTATAAACAAAAATGATCTCTGCACAAATGTTTTCTAACTCCTTCTGAGTTCTTCAGGTGCAACAGAATGGTTACCCGATACAACATCTTTCAGAACAAACTTTTACAAATTCACATTTGTTCCAAAGGATGTTCCATTGGGTAACCCTTCTGTCGTGCCCGAAGAAGAACTCAGGAGGAGTTAGAAAACATTTACGCAGAGATCGTTTTTTGTTTATACATACCATAAATTAGTTCTGTGTCTGTTATTTTCATAAATTACATTTAAGTATTCATATGAGACTGATTTAATAATTTAACAGAAAATTTGAAAATAATACCAATAAAAGTTAATTTCTACATCAATCATCTGTCCATTTACATAAGCAATATCAAGCTGATTTGAAAATGACATACAATTTGATGAAGAATTTTTAATAAAAGTTACTATATATATCATACTGTACTACACATATCTAGTTGCTATACTATACATACAATTATTTTCCATTTCATAAAAGTAAAATCTGGCAATTAATTAAAATGATAAATGAGATTAATCCAGACATATTACTGAGTTAATCTCATTATCAAAAACACCAAGAAAAAATACTGTACCAACTGCTGAATAGTAAACTTTTGATTAAATAACAATTTTAAGAAATATTAATTTTTTTATAAGAAAATAATATTGATATATATAGCATAGAATATAATTTTCTTTTCAATATCAATTTTTATACCAGTTAACACACTTAAAAAAATCTCTAATCAATTAATCACTTTATCTAAATATTCACTTTTTAAGAAATTAGAAAACCAAAGATAGGTTAATGTTTTCCAAGACATTTTTTTAACAAATTGACACAAATAACATCAGGTACCCATAAAGCTTGATCAGGTCCATGAAACGTGTAAATACTACCTTAATAGTAATATCAACATTACAAGAGAGAAACTAACAGCTGAAGTATACAGGAACCATCTCATGTTCCACTTTGAAAGATCCTTTTAGATACAATAAACCATTTNATAAAAAATTATACTTCAGAAGTTAATTTAGTATCAAAAACGTAAAATATTTGAGTAGCCGAAGACATAGCCAAAGATTACAGCACCACAGCACTGGCAAAAATTTAAATTTGTCGACTGGAATTCCTTCGGATAACCGACCTTCGGATAAACGACACTCTACTGTATCAACATTACAAGAGAGAAACTAACAACTGAAGTATACAGGAACCATCTCATGTTCCACTTTGAAAGATCCTTTTAGGTACAAAAAATCATTTAACTTTTGACCATCTACAAACACTGAATAGAGAAATGATTTATATAGAAAGGATAGGACAAGCTTATGGTTTTACAAGAAAACTCATTTGTATGTTTTTCATATTGAACAAACTACACTTTCTAACAACAGAAGAAATGTTAATGAAATAAAAAAAAAACATTATATATCCTATGACATGTATCCTTTTAGAAAAGCAAGGCGCGTAAGAAAAAAATATATATATACAAATTATCCCCTTAAGACACCTCACATTCTTTGATTGCATTAGAAATGAAAAAAAAATGAATATCCAATCATAAAAGAGGAGAATACCAGATCTTACTAACCAACAAGAAAAGAATGAAAAATGTATTACTATATCAAGAGCAAATATAAGCAGTTGCACATCATAATGCAGACGAAGGATGTCTAGATACTGTGATACAAAAATGCAACCCATAAGGACAGTTGAGAAGATCATGATAAACATACACAAGGGACAAGTGATCAATACCAACAATAATAGTGCTGACTTACATTCAAGAATATAAGTTCACCAACTGTTTCTATAAGGTGGATTGTTTAATCAACTCACCAAAAACCTTATTTTAACACCAGCAGGCATTTAATCTTTCATGTGGATGTGGACAAATGTTTTTGACCTAATTATAGACCTGCTTCAGGTCTTAAACTTTTCATTCTATTTTGGAAGCAGTTGACTAAAATATGTAAATAGTTATACTAAGAACATAAAACACAATTTTGAACTTCACAGTCATTCATTCCAGTTTGAAATTTTATACTGTTCTTCTTCAAATTCTAAAACAGAACAAAAAGTTTAAGACTTGAAGTAGATCTATAATTAGGTTGAAAACATTTGTCCATGTCAACATGTAAGATTACACTCCTGCTGGTGTTAAAATAAGGTTTTTGGTGAGTCAATTATGGATATAAATACTGATGAACTGCAAAACAAAACAAAGAACACATTACACAGTAATTTTTCTTTTATTTTTATTACTTTATTTTAAATTTATTTTGTTTTATCTTTATTTTCTGGTTATTTTTACTTATTTTATCATTTTTCCTATTGATATTATTTTGTCATTGTATTTTTTTTGTACTTATACTTCAGCTGAAGATCCAATTACAGTTTAACAAACAAAATGTAATTTAAACATTTTCATATATAAGAATTATATGCTCAAATGGAATAATTATTAAAACAATCAAATTCAAATATTTGTTAACTATAATGGTCTGAAGAACATTTTGAAAATGTTAACCAGTCTTTTATTTTCTGGCTTCTTGAAAAAGTGAGTAGATAAAATGATTACTAGAACATATGAAACCATCACATTCCCAGAATCCTACTTTCAATTTTTTTTTTATTAAAACATCAATTCTCAAATTACTTGAATATTATCTATTCATAGAAAAACTTTTCCTAGTAATTTTTCTTTTTGTAAAAATTTAAACACTAGCATAAAAAATCATCATAATCTTTTATAAAAATTTACATATCTAAGACACTTTACATTTCTATATAAATAATAAAAGAAATCACTTACTTTATTTAATTTCACTTCTGGATCTTTAGAGGTAACACCAGTACCACTGCAAGGAGCATCTAGTAAAACACGATCAAATCCCATCATCACCTGTGGAATAAAATTTTTAAACAAATTCTTATTTCAACAATTAGACTTTTATTATTGTCTTCATACAGTATGAACTTAAAAATATGAAATTTATTATGATAACATCATGCAGAGGTGGCCCAAATGTTGAACAATGATTTGAAAAGCTCATAACTAATTTTTATTGATATATTTGTTGAAAATTTGTTTACAGATTGTACTAGAATCCTACGAATTTAAAATAGAACATTATATGCTTAATCAATACACAAAAATTGTGACAGTTTATTTACAAAATGAAGTATAATTGCAACTCAAAGAGAATTCTGTAGATTATTTTAATGTAAGAAATTGTTCTCTTGCATTAACAATTTACAAGTTCATTGCCAATTTTAAAACATTTAGGATAGTTGGAGACATTAGATTTAACACACAGAATATGGGATCAGCTGAAAACATTAACCAAAAGTGTGAGTGAAGATCAACCAACTTTCACTTGCAGATATTCAATTTTGCTACACAGGCAGGGTAATGCAGTCCTTTAGGACAATATCACCATAGTTAGGAGAGTCCACAACCAGCCCTAGCCAAATTTTTGGAAATGCTGGAGATATATAAGTATGGTGTACAAAAGAGTGCATAAACTATAGTAGGGGTCCCCAAAGTGGTCGATATCGACCCCTTGGGGTCAATAAGAGTTCTCCAGGGGTCGATTAATACATGAGGGTCGAAAGGGAGTCGATTAATACCAAACAGGATCAATTAAACTGTCTAGGAAAAAAATAGAATATTCCAATAAAAATTTGAAATACGGATATGCTCAATAACATTACTGACTAAAGTTATAACTAGGGTAGTCAGTAATGTTATGGCTAGGCTAATGTTAGATAATAATGTTAGTGGCGTAGGCTAAGGCGAAACTCTTCGCCTTAGCCTACGCCACTTTAAGCATGTGTTACTCTGTTTTCACGCATCTGGCCACTGTACTAGTGTTGCAAACATGTTATGAACTCTAATAGTTTATTATACACAGACATACGTTGCACTGTTACACTCTAGAAGGGTTGACACTCTAAGTATTTTATATCTAAATGTAGATATTTTGTCCTTTACAGAGAAAATATCGTAATATATC